AGTGATTATTACCCACTCTTAACCACAGCAGTAACAAATGTCTATATTCCACAGGTCCACTATAATGGAGGACCAAAACATTCACAGGTAAAGATAGGATCATATTGGCACATTATTATGGGGGACTAGTTTTCTATTTGGGGTGATATTCTAACACATTCACATGAGATGATGAGAAGGAAACTTCTCCGATGTCCACTATACCTTATTTTGACATCTTTTGTTAAAAGTAGTAAGAGAACTCTTCACTCATACAGTCTTGGCCATTTCTCCCTTTCTTAAGAGTTTCACTTTCACATACACGCAGTTGCTAAGAGTTGCATGAACCTAATCCATAACAGATAGACAGACCATTCACATTTGAATACATAGTGTATCCTTTTTTTTCTTGAACTGCATTACTTTTTTTTGAACTTGGTAACTTCTTGTATTGCATTACTTTCTCCTAGTTGATTTTTATAAGCACGCATTAGGTGTTCCAGTATATAAATTTTAGCAACTGTCATCATGAAAATGTAATTGGTAAATTGGAGGCAAATTTATATTTAGTACCCTTTGCACATCCATGCACATTTTAATTGTAAGCAGTTTCATAGCCCAGCAAAATATGAATAAGAGGCCGAGTATGCTATAAGCTACAAAGTTCCAACAATAGTCACTCCGTAAGCTCAAATTCTTACCTGGGTTTGATAATGTCGAAATCGGAACCACATGCCAAAAAGATACAAAGATAATGGTTTCAACAAATCCAAAAGACTAAAGAACTGGCAAACTAATATTCTTTTTTTATGCCAGACTAATATTCTCAAAAACAAAGTAAGAGATAGACTTGTAAGTTAAGAGTATGAATTATCAAGACCAAAAGAAAAAAATAAAAAAGAAAATACCTCCTTCTTTCTTTGAGGGGGTGCCATTAAGGACGCATAACGTGAATTGGACAGCTGATTTTCAGCATGCTCCAACTTTTCAGCTGCATGATTTAATGGGATCAACTAATTTTAGGTGTTACACTATCATGTAAACTCATATGCAGGCATCAAATCATTATGATGATAAAAGAAAGTGGAAAATGTAGGCAATAATGATATTACCAAGATCAGATATCTGTCCAGCAACATAGTCTCCATTTCCAAGCAAAGGAGATGAAGAAAGTGTGTTCACCCAATACTTGTTCCATAGAAGGTCCAAGAGATGGCAATCGAGAGAGGACTTAAAATATGTAATATCCAATGAATAATACTGCAAATCAAGAGAAAAGTTGGTGAGCTAACAGTCAGAGTAAAGCAGAGTTGAAGACCTAGATTTTAATATATGTGTGTGAGTGCATGCTCTCATGCCAAAGAGGTGACCTGCTTGCAATGTACTCCAAAGTCTTCGATTTTGTTCAAAGGAATAGTCTGGTACTCCGAGATGGGGTCATCTGGAGGCTTATATCCTTCAGGATATGTTCGAAAGGCACCAATCTCAACTTTTCCAGCAGAAACAGTTCTTGTTGGATCAATAACAACTGCAAGAAAGGGCTCCTGATATTGCTGATTAAGCATTTGTGTAGATACATCAATACCAGAGAGCCAGCATCCGTAACCAGGATGGGAATGGTACCACCCGACCACATTTTCTAAACGACCAGCCTATACCAAAAAGTCTGAGTAAGAGAATGGTCAGAACAAACTGCAGTAACAAGCACACTCCAATTTAGGAACCGAACACAAAAATATCATGACATGGTCATTAGTTTTCGGGATCAAACTAGGTAATATTCTCTTCTTCACTGAGAAAATATCACAAATTCAAGCCAGCAGAATGAAATATCATAATGGTGTTGGTGTAGAATCAGGGATAATAAGTTTTATATTATTGTCCTCTTCATAAATGTCAATCAAAAAAGTTACAACACTAGTTGCAAGTCCCTGTTGTCAAGTAAGCTATAGCAGACAGCTAGGTAAACTAGTCAAAGCAAACTGGCCCATTCCACGAATGAGAACAAAACCTCAATCTCAAGCTAGTCGGTACAAAACCTCAATCTCAAGCTAGTCAGAATCTGCTATACGAACCTTCACAATTCAGTTAGCTTCCATTTGAACAGGTTACATTCTAATATTTAGGGAGAAATTCTAAAACTCAAGGCATTTACTCTATCAACCTACAGTTGTGCTCCATCTGAACCAGTTTGATTCCAATTTTCAGTAAATCCGAAAAAAATCATCTTAAATTGACTAGGTTTATTCTAAAGCTCACAGTATACTAGATACACATAAAAAAATTAATCTTTTTTTTATAAACGCACTAACCTGCTTGTTGGTCTGTGAATATTCGACCATATATTCATACGCATCAGCTTGAGCATTAACCCTAGTTTCAGTGCCTTCAACGGGGAGGGCAAAAGCGTCCATAACAATAATTGCATCGCCGTCAGTCTTACCCTGCATGAGTCCCATGACCTCAATTGTACCTCCGGAACGCGCGTGAACAACCATCTTGAGAAGAGCAAGAGCAGAGATCTTCACACGCTTGAAATAGTGAGGGTCACTCGCCCACGGCTTCTCCCGCTGAAACTTCGTCTGTGCCGCATCGTCGTAGTGGAATATGGCATCTGACGCAGAGTTTTCCGGTGTCGACCCCGACGGCGCATCTATAGTCACGATGTTGTTCTCTAACTCCCAGGTTTGCTGCGCCATCGCCGCCGACGATGCGTAAGAATTTAGAGCGTCCATTGTAACTTCGGAGAGAAGGGCAATTGCAGAGCTTTTCGCTACAATCTGAATTTATAAGTAAAAAATCGACCAGGGTTAATTAGAATAAATGTATTTAAAGAATTAAGAAAAGATTAAACTAGACCTTATAATAGGATTTAACTTTAAATAATATTCCTTATATTTTCAAATTAAATTACACATTTAACCTCTTTGTAACCTGGAAATTATGTACAAATATTAGTTTGTATGTATTTCTATCCTAACAAAATCTAGTACGGAGCATTATCCCAAATAGACCTTGCCGAATTCGAACACCAGGTTGGAAATTTAAAAAAATATATTAAATTTAAAATATCATTTGATTATTAAATTAATAATATAATATATACTTATTCGTAAAATCACTAGATAGATATTTAATTATCATTAAATTAATAATTAAATCTATCTTTGATATTTCAGGTATCCTATAAGTTGTAAATGTTTTAAATATCAATGTTTCAGTCATTAAATATCTCTCAATATATTTGAAGGTGGAAAAGAAACATTATAATTCACTTCTTCAAAGTTCATTTTTTGTAATTTGTAGCTGAAGAATCTACTTATTGAGTCATTCCAAAAAAAAAAAAAAAAAAGTTTGATAATATTCATGTTCCGCGTATATTTCATAATAATTTGACTTATTCATTAATTCTTTATAATAAAAAAAAATCACAAATAAACTCGCAGCTATTGATGTTCTTCAAATTTCTCTGAGATAAAGTCTCTTTTTTTCAATTCTTAAGTTTGGCATTGCCTCGACCTGTTTCAACTGTTTTGAAATGCATGGAAGAATTCAATTGAATTAATGCAAGATTAATTTGTTATTAATACATTTGTCGTAACTTTCAACACTTATAACCCTTTTAATAACATAATTAATGTGTCAAAATAGCAGTAGAAAATTTATAAAAGGTTTTAGTTCTGTTGCACTCACTGTTATAATTAACTAGAAAAACAAGAGATAATTATATTTATAAGATTACACAAGATGCAGGTTATACTAATTTTGCTACTTTTTGTTGTTGGAATTTTAGTGAAATCAGTAAATTCAGAAAGATACATTGTTGGAGAAGGCTATGGCTGGCGTTCTGCTCCGTACCCTACTTACTATGAAGATTGGGGTAAAACTATCAAGTTAAAACCTGGAGATGAATTAGGTAAACTTTAATTTCACATACTACTCTTTTCTCAAGGAAAATATTTTATCTCTGAAACGTACGAACTATCAAGGGTGTACATAGATCGGTTTAGTTCAGTGTTTTTATTCATCAAATTTTCCATGCCAATTTATTTGTAGAGTTTAGGTTCCAAAAGCCAGACGATTTGCTGCAGATAGCAAAATACGACTATTATGCATGCAGTTCCAACACTCCTTCCAGGCAGTATAAAGATAGTCCAGCAACAGCATTCTTGTTGATACCTGGAGATTATTACTTCAAATCCAGCAACAATACAAATTGCATCAATGGCCAGAGGCTTTATGTAAATGTAGCACCTCCAAATGAAGATAAAGATAAGGATAACCAGCCTGGTGTATTAAAGAATTAGACGATAACCTGAGACGAATCTAAGATATCTAGAGTCAGTGAAATCAGAATGAAAGTAATCTTATATATGCATACATTTTAATCGTAATTCTTTCTTATGTTTTTCCATGGTTTTGAGTCGGAAGCAATAAGTTCAGTTTAACTCACAAAACCTGTCATAGGCAAAAGAATGCTCAGATGTGTATTACAGGAAATCTATTTTCCATGTGAACTTTAATGTGTATTACCAGAAATCTATTAAAACAAATAAAATAAATGAAGAAGCAACAGCTATAAATACATATCTGGGCTTTAAAAAGAAAACTAGGCTTTCTATTCTTCTGGCCAAAATTTCACATTCTTCCGTAAACCCAATATTAACACCATGCTCATCAGAATGTATGGATAAGGTTTATTGGAAACAACCTCTCTACCCTACAAAGGTAGGGATAAGGTCTGCATACGCCCACCACCTTCTTCAGATTCCACTTTGGGAATATACTGGATATGTTGTTGTTGTTGTTCATCAGATTGTATCTCCAACACGAATCATGGCAGTCTTTTCAAGTGCAGCATTGGTGAAGACCTTGACAATTTTCTGTGAGACCGTAATAGAACAAAAGGTCGTAAAATAACAAACATAAACATGACCTCATTCGATTCAGAAGTTTGAAAGTATACTTACATGTAAGCATATCATCCACATGAAATGAGTCTCTTTCAACGACCCATTGTCCTTGCTAGATATCGTCCCCGACTAAATCTAGCAAAGCCTCTACGTAATTGAGATCTTGAGCTATGCTCCAATCAAAGTCTTGAGGCTTCAGACCCTACTTCACACCCAACAACTCCTTCAGTTGTTCTTTACTACTGCATTTAGAACCCAGCAGACAACTATGCATTAGCAATAATAACAAGTACCTATAAGGTGATTTGAGTTACTCTTTTTAGTTCATAATGCAAAACTCCAGAATGCAAAAAAAAAAAAAAAAAAGCATTCCCTCCTTTTACTTAACCACGGGCAGACAGGATTAGTTAACTCAGACAAATTGAGCTAGATCACCTTCTCAGACAGAAATACTTGGTCTGCACTATAATATGTCACATTGGCTATTACTTCCACAAGACAGGGAGTGCACATAATATGTTATAACTTGCTAAGACTCAAAAATATAGCTGTGTCTCTAATCAAAGCTGCTAATGGAAACTGAAAGAACTAGGTACAGCAAGCATGGAGGCAAAGTTTTTTCTCCTTGTGCCAAAACTAAATATGATTCTTAATCAAGTTTATCTAAGATCAATTCAGAAGGTTAATATGGATAAACCTCTACTGTACACTTATTCTAATACCATCTATCCTCTGTCCTCCACCAATTCACACTGAAATTCGCCTACCGCTTAAGTCCAGTTACCAATAACTTGAACTTACCCTGCCATCAATTTTATGAACCGAGCTGAACAGGTCATATTTTGCTAATTGGTCATAGTTCTGCAATTTGGAAAACTTTCTTTATTTCTTTTAGGGCGAGAGAGACAATTTTAGAGTTCTGGAATATTCTATAATCCTTTATTGACGGATATATATAAAGAAAAAAAACGATTAGAACAAAGCAATTTGAGGTATGGCCACAGGATTAGACTACAATAACTGTTTGGTCATTGGACATGTAAAGTAGACAAACTATATTTTTTTGGTCATAAGTAGAAGATTAGTTTTAAAATAAGCTTCTCTGAGTCGAGCAGCTTCCCTACTCATGATATTTTACCTTCCATGTCAAAATAAATAACACTAGATAATGTGTAGAGGTAATAAGAGACCTGCAGCAGACTCGGAAGTACCTGTTTGCAAAAGAAGGAATTATCTCTTCAAGAGCATGGAGCATAATGGAATTAGTGGTCTCATCACAAGAACTTCGCCTGTTCTTGAGAACTGTAAATGAATAAAAACAGCCAGTAATCACCACCCTTAAAATACAAAATTTCATAACTTATTAAGGATTGGAAAACAATAGAACTGATGTAGGGGTAAATATATTTGTAAAGGTTCATATTCAAAAACTCTAACAGAGAATTTTGAATTATGTCGAAGTGATGGCGAAATCACATTAAATCTGACACTTCCCTGACAAGCACTCAACCTATCTCGAATCATTCATAACTTCGACCTTTCTAGGGTCTCAGCGATAACAAAATAACTTGGAGAAATTTACAAGCACTTCCCTTTTAGAGATTACAAATGTTAGGATCCAGAATGTACCATATCAATGTATCATTTTCTCACTCACTTAAACAGAATTTTTTCAGATAATAAACAACCATTCTACACCCTGAATGTTCACAACTGAACCACCCATCATAAATGGATCATGGGCTTAAGTTGTTTGGTTTACATTTCTGCCTTCATTTTCTCATCCATTTCTCCTTTACAAGAGGTTTGTTGCTTAATCCTACTCATTCAGGTACAAAGCTCAGACCTCATCAATACCCCTTCTCCCTTCTTATATCTTTCCCTCCCACCCCCAAAAAAGAAGACTGAAAATAGGTAACGACAACTAGGCCTCAATTCTAAGCTAGTTGTGAGTATGCAAAAAAGAAAAAAGAAACAAAAATCTAAAGCGTTTACCTAACATCTCATTTCCTTTCTTATACCATAGAGACGCTAGAAGCAGCACAAGGAGAGTTTAGTGTTCAAGTACCTTCAAAAATTTTGGGATCTGAAGTGTTGCCTTGGAGATATGATACATCGTCCTCAGATAACTGTAACCCATCCATCTGAGCAAACTTATTCAAAATACAGCCGACAAGACTATAAGCAACCATACTTGTTTCATCAGAACCTTCCTGGATAAGAAGATACTGATTTCTACTCAAGTTTTGTCTTTTTTCTTCTGAACACTTTGTCGATGTAAATTTTGGTGGTGTGCATCCCAAGTCCCCGACAGTTACTTTTTCCTCCATATCATTCCTGCCTGATACTTCATTAGGTGAGAAATGTGTAGCAAAACTATTTTGATCTCTGGTTGAAAAAGATGAGCATGAATCCCTTCCTTCTTGATGGCCTATGCTTCTTAAATGGCTATCTTTACCACTCATACTCCTTGTGACTTCAGAAGCTTTTGATTCTAAGAATGATGAGGAATTGTCAAACCAATTGGAATGAATTGAATCTACTCCATCGGTATACATTGACTCAATCTTGACGCTCAACTTGTGTTTGGGTGAAAGCAGAGAAGATAAACCATCATCTCGACTAGCAGTGATTGGTGACTGAAAATCACTTTGGTTTATCTCGCCAACACTTTCTGCTTGGCTGTATGAGACATTAGGATCAGACTTGCAATTCTGAGGAAGATCATAAAGATGTTCATCTTCATCACCACCTTCATAATAACTATCCTCTGCATTCTCCATGTAAGCATTTGCAAAATCTTCACTGACATCACATTCAGTGAGTGAATCCCAAACAATTTGTTTTATCTGAGCACTAATAGTCAGCACACGTTCTATTTCTTCCTCTACCTCCTTGTTTGAGTAGGTTTTGCTATATTCATGCCTATATGTTTTGTTAATTATTGCTAGACTTTCTATTAAACTTTCAGGGATAGACTCCAAGTCGCTGCATTCAAGAAGATATTCAGTCAACATTTTCTTCACGTTCACACGCAAACGAACACTTTCTCTGGCAGCTTTATTATTAGAATCCAGCACAAGAGGCAAATTTCCCAGCTCTGCAAAACTCACTTTGGTTTTATCATCTAGAATCCTGATTGCTTTTGCTATATCATTCTGCAATGCTTCTACATCTGGTGAAAGTTTTTGGAAAAAACTCGGAGAGAGACAATAATCAAGTTCTGGTTTTAGCATTAAGGCTGCTACGGACAAAGCCTTAGCCAGGGGTTCTGGTGGTTCATCCCCTTCTTCATAGTCTGATAACATTTCTAATGAAGTCCTCCGGATTTGTTCAACTAAACTTCCAATACTCCAACATATTCTAGGAGGCTGCAGTAAAGGGATGTAACCTGTGACATTCCTCAGATTCCTATGCATTTTACTCAAAGTTAGAAGAGACAACTCCTCAAGTCTATCCAGAACATAAATAGCAGAAATGCGAAAGGATTCTGAGGTAGAACAAGAAGCCCCATGATTAACACGAAAGTTTTGAGGATCTTTGAGGAGTTGAGAAATTTGTTTAATTCGACTTTGACTGGAATCATCATGCTTATGGAGAATTTTGGGAAGAAACTGCCTGATTGTCCTTCTCATTTGCCAATTGGTTTTCTCAAAAGTAATTGAGCCGCCAGTTACAGTCTCCGCAATACAGCATAACCCCTTGTTGTTCATCTTATCAAGCATGGAATATATGCCTCTCAAATTCTCAGCTGAATTGGAGAGCAATGTCCCTGGTGCACCATGATATGTCCTTTCACCCTTATGCACTCCAAATGCCTTTGCAACAGAAGTTCGAATGTTCTCATAATGTAACTGGAATAAAGGTGCAAAGAAATATATCAGCTTAGTGGGGAAAAACACTTTGGAATTTAGTTTGACAACAACAGATAATGTTCAATACAAACAAAGAACAGGTTTCTCTGAAATAGGGAGTGAATAATATCCTTTGCTTCAAAAATTACATGTGAGCAGTATCATTTGGATTTAGAAAAAGAAAAGAAAAAAAGAGATACAGTCAGGAATATTTTAACAATTTTGAGTTGTAGCATGTCATTACATCAGCAAGCATTAAAGGGAACACTTACATCATCTTCTCTAAGCAATGATTCAGGTAAACTCCTGCAGATACAGACAACAGAGTCAAGGTTTAGTTTGAAGTGCAAAACATTACTTGAAAAACAACATGCAATCTAAGCCAATTCATTATGAATCCAGATAACAATATGCATAAACAAGCTATCATTTATAAGAGCAACCCATGTACCAAGGTTCTGTAAACTTCTAATAAGTATGTAGATGTAATATAGGAAAACAACTTTCATCAAGAAAGCACAATGCTTTAAAAGAGCCAAGTCAGGGAGATAAATTTGCTGCTTCATCTTCAATTATAATAGAGAGCACTGATGTAGTCGGTGCTGCTCATAATTCTGTATATCCAACTTAAAATAAGAAGGGCCAACTGCACCATCTGAATAGATGTGTGCATCAAGTCTAATACATTTCAGTTTGTTTGTTCCCTAACTTAGTAAAAGCTTACAAAAGACGAAATATCAAAGGGAATTGACAGACAACGCATTAAAGTACCATTGCAGTCATATGGAACAGTCAATGTTGTAAATATTTCAACGAGACAAAAGCAGGGCAACTGCTAAAATGCCTTTTCTAGGGAGAGATAAATTCACTAACCAGGACAATACTCACACAACAGAAACAAAAAGAAGAGTTTCTTTACAAATATATATATATATATATATGAATTAAAGGAGAAAGAAAGTTCTCACATATCACCGGGAGGTTTGAGTCTGTCCATCTTTTTTTGCTCTCTTTCAGACAAATCCAAGTCCATTAACCACCTGCAATATTAGTTTCATATGCCTTAGTATTACTGAATATTATCCCCATTAACACTTTGTATTGCATTACTGATACAAAGAAAATTGCTCCCTCTATCATATTTTATATGACACTCTACCCACTTTAGAACATCCTAAAATGTTTGAGAATATTCTCTCTCTACACAATTTTCACGAATCTAAACAAATATACAAAAATAAAATTCATCAAATTATTCAAATATTTTTGCCAAGTTTTTACGGAAATTATACATATTTTATATTTTATGTCAAACTATATACCTACTCAAACACTATCAATACAAAAAATATTATGAAACCACTCAACCGAGATAGTATTAAACAAAGAAAGCAACTATCAAATTGGAAAGGATCATCAATGTAGTGCTAAAATTAAATGATGAAAATTCGATTGTAATTTGAAATAAACTGATGTCGGAGAAAATAAAAGGCTTACCTTCTCTTGAGCCTAAGTTCTTTATCTTGCTGCTTCAATTGAGAAGCCAAATCTTTACAATCCTCCATGTACGCCTCCATATTATCCTATTCCTTTACAATACAACAAAATAGTTCTATAATTCACTTCAACAAAACAAAAAAAAACACCCTCAAAATTACAAATCTTCAAAAATTTGGTGTCTAGATCAACGGCGGCAAAACCCTACCGCCAATAAATAGGGGCTCAAAATTACAAATCCTTTCCAAAAAAAAAAAAAGTTCGCAGAAGACAAAGAGAGGAGATGCATAACACAAACAAAAAGAGACAGCACCGTTGAAAGAAACAAAATACCCTAGTAGAGGAGAAAAGGACCAAAATTGTCCCTTATTTTTGCCTTTTAAGACTCAAAATGATCCTTTTATCATTTCACATGGAGCACTAATAGTCCTCCTTCTTTGTAAAAATGGTACAGTTTTAATCTTTCAAATATTTTTCATCTATCACTAACCAAAGCCGCCAGGGGCGGCTCAAACCCGTTGGTGACCTAAGACCAAAATCAAATTAGAGGCCTTAAAAAAAATTAAAAATTTAAAATATAAACTATCGTCATTCGGATGGCTCAGTTGGTTTGGAGGGTGGTTATCCACACGGATGACCCGGGATCGATCCCCCATCAATGCCTTCTGAGTCGAGTCTATCGCTTAGGGCTTGCCTAGTGCGAAACTATCAATAGAACAAGTAAATTCTAAAATTTTGAACAAGAGAGACAGAAAAAATAGAAGATAGGAAGAGAGGAGGATAGAATATATAAAATTAAAATTAAAAAAAGAACAAGGTAAAAAAAAAAAAAAAAGAGATAACTTGTACATTAAAAAAAAAAAAGTACACAACTTTTTATTGAAAAGGTAAAAAGTAATGATCATATTTATCATTTCATTAATGTTGGTTGCATTTATTGTCTTAGTTCTATTCTTATTTTTTTAATTTAATCCTACCTAATTAACTAAAAAATGAGACCTCCAAGGCCAATGACTTTTTTTTAACCTTTATCAGTCGCCCCTGGAAGCCGCTTATAAGTGTGTCATGCATTGACTTAAATAATTTTGTTTTACCCTAGAAAACCAGTTGTTCTGTATTTCCTCTTCGTATCATTGTAAAGGTTAGATCTAATCCCTAAATGAAGTCAAAGCTCAACACTCACAAAGAAGCAATACCTTGTTGATAGAATTTATACTCCTTGCTGTAAGCACTTTTCAATTAGCAGATCCAACCTTCAATTCTATTCGTGCACGATAAAAAAAATTCTTCAATATTCATAATCTCCCTGATATTATGAGTAGATTTATTTATATAATTATGTTGGTGTTATCTCAAATCCTTTGGTAGGGTTGTTTAAAATTAAACACAATCAAAATCAATAACTCAAATTGGCAAAATATTATGGGTTTATCTATAATGATTTATTAAATTTATGATTTGGTAAACATAATAGTATATCCGATTTAGTTTCATAAGTGGGATATAAAAAGGATAGAGTGTGCACACATCTGACATCTACCTTCACAAGTAGAAAGGTTGTTTCTGAATGATCTGATTCAAAGAACTTACAATTCAGTAATAGTTTAGATTATTATTATTATTATTATTTTGGGAATTATCAATTCTATAACGATTTATTATTTTTCTTGAAGAGTAACCATAACCCGATAATAATTATTAAATCATAATTTTATGCTTATTTGATACTAACAAGCTCTTGTTTTAGACTTGAAGCGTGTTTTTGAAATTCTTGACAAAGGATTTAATATATCTATACAACCAAATGATGTAGTGTAGTGAATAAAGTTATTTCTCTATTAACCAAATGTTTCATATTCGAGCCCTGGGTATGCAAACCAAATAAAGCCCTACGCGGCATGATTTTAACATAGTTGGACTTCAATATGAATATTATGATATCAAGTGAGAAACTAAGTATTATTTTTTTAGTATATCTATAAATGGATAAATGGAGCCAATATCTGAGGGTGATATTAATTGTGAATACAATGGATCCTGCTACTCAAAATTAATTCATTTGGTGACCTTAATAATTAACCTTTAGTGTTGCTTAATGAATAGACAAAAAGGAGTTAAACGTTATAAATTGACGAAAAAGGTTAGGAAGACTAAAACTGCACCAATTTTACAAAAAAGAAGGACTATTAGTGCTCTCTATGAAAGGATGAGGATCATTTTGAGTCTTAAGGCAAAGGTAAGGGACAATTTTGGTCATTTTCTCTACCCTAGAATATTAAAAAACTAGTATGTAATTAATTAAAACTTTCTTTAATAATTTGTTGAGTATTTTTTTCACAAGTGTTTTTGAGAGTCAAACTACAAAAAAGGACAATTATTAATGTATTTTTAATATTAAAATATTTTATAGAGAGAAACTATTTTTAATATTTAAACATAAAATAAATTATAAATTTATTATATAAAAATAAAAAATAAATTTTTAAATGAAATCTAACCAAACTTAAGGAATATACTAATTAATTAAGGGGAAAATGACAAATATATTCCCGAACTATTGTAAATGGTATGCAGATATCCTCCGTCGTACTTTTGGGACATAGGTGCCCCTATCGTCCAAAAATTAGCGCATATATGTCATTCACTCTAACGGAAGACTAAATAGGGACACATGGCGCAATCTTATCCGGCGATCTGATATTTAATAAATGTTGGGTCGGTGGATAAAATTATGACATGTATATGTCCGTTAGTATAAAAGATTATTTATGCATTGGTTTTGTGAAATTACAAGTACTCCATTAAGGATCATCTATTTTTAGTAAGGACGATATATATGGGAAAATCACTTACGTGTACACTTTTTTAAAAATATTTATCATATTTGTCAACATTATTCTTTTAACCATATATAACAATTTGGCTGAATGACAATATTGCTAAAAGTTGCGAATGGTAGCACTTTTTGCTAAGTTTAAAGGAACAAAAATTGTTTCAAGTAAGTATTGCTAAAAGTTGACAAAAATGGTAATAAATTAAAAGTATACTTAAAAGTGGTAATTATTAAATAAAATACCTTCACTTATGTAATTTTCCATATATAAATAGGAACAAATGTAGTACTATTCACATATTTTAAAAACTTTATTATTGATGTAATTGTAATTAAAAATTATACAGAATTAAATTTAAAGTTACTTTTTTATTTCTTAATTTGTCTAATTCACTTATATTGGTTTTGTAAGATTGTCTTCAATTCTTTGAGGTAATTTATTAGACATTTCAAGCTCAAACTAATTAGATTATCAAATAATTAAATTTAAAAATATACTATCTTAAATTTGAATGTCTTCTAAAGTAACAATCATTATACTGTTGGTTTTTGTAATTAAAAGTACAATGAAATAATATATAAGTAAAAAAAAAATATTCTAATTGTCATATTTAATGAAGTGAAGTCTTGATTTTATTTTAAAACACTTTTAGAATAATTTTGATAGTTTATATAATAATTAACTCTATTGAAAAAGTTTTCAAAAGTATAATCAATAACAAAGATTTAAACATTTGTATTGTAATATAACGTACAATAATTTATATATATATATTCTCTTCTTACAAAATATTACAAGAAATGATATACCGTCAATTTAAAAAGAAAAAATAACTATTAAATTATAATCAATTATCATATATTTTTAAAGTTTATTAAAATAAAATATATTTAAAAAAATTAAATAAACGTAAGACTTTTTCTAAATTTTGATATTAGGTAATATATTCTATTGAGCCACTCAGCAACTTGCACGCACGTCCACGGGTAACCCAAATTATGATTACGATTACAACTTTGAAAAATTACATTAATATAACTCAAAATTCACTAAAATTTGTAAGAATCATAAGGAAATATAATATCATGTTTGAACCTTGACAAACATAATAGTATAATCCAAAATATATGGAAAGAAAATAGACAATATACAAAAAGAAGAAAATCCACATAAGGTATGACTATGCGGCGAAAAATGAAAGGATAGCCTTACGAGGGAGAAGTTGGGAATAATTAGAGGATATGTTGAATTTAAACATGGGCCTATTTATTTTTTGTTAATCCAACATTTAGAAGCAATTTTGAATTTGGGGCAAAATTGTCCCTTCCACACTTTATGTTTATCACATTTTCTAATTCTCGTATAAAACATGATTAGTGAAAAGCATGTGTGGTATGACACAAAGTACTAGTATCATATTCCTTCGTAACACAAAAAACAGTTCTTTAATTCATTTCTTCAATTGAATCACTTCAAAAGAATCTTTTATCTAATTATTTAGATTCTCAAAAAACTCATCGCAACTACTCAAATTCAAATAAGGTGGTGGCTGGATCAAGAGCGGCTCAACCCTAAACTAAATAAAGTAGTGATGGGGCCTCAAAATTACAAATCTTCCAAATAACAAAAAAAACTCAAATTCAGTTCGCAGCAGACAAAAGATAAGATACATACATAAAATGAGACTACGCAAGTAGAATATTGAAAAAATTAGGTATTTATTATTACTATTAATTAAAATTTTCTTAATAGTTTGTTGACAATGTCTTACTAAGTTTTTGTACATATTTTTGAAATTTTATTATTTATGTAATCATAACTAAAATAGTAGACAATTAAATTTTTATAGTTACTTTTTATTTCTTAATTTGTCTATTTCACTTCAATCTGAATGAACCATGTATTAATATTATTTTTCGAAGCGGATGCGGGAGGCCATTTTGACAATAATATCTTCATGCTCTCGGTAAAAAAGGGTCCTTCCTTTAATTTTCTTCTAAAGTTTGAAATTTGATTTAAGAGCTATTGATTGCATTGTTCCACCAGCTTTGAAAAAATAGCAGACGTGTTCCAAAAAACCAGACATAATTTGTTCTCGTTTACAATTTCTATTTTCAACATTTAGAATTACTTAATGAGATAAGTATTAAAAACACTCCTAAACTTCACGTGAATTATTCCTTTAGTCCCTTAAGTATTGACAGTCTTAAAAATACTCATCTACTTGGATTAAGTAATTTAAAAACACCCCTAAACTTCGCGTGAATTATTACTT